CACGACGGACTGTGGGATCCGGGCAAACCGTGTCGAGTTTACGACAGCGGGGTGACGATCGCAGTGGTGGGAGTTAGCACGCGACGACTGGGATCGTCGGTGTGAGTATGAGGATCGATGATCGAAGTTGAGTTGATTGGCCCGGGGCCATATTGGAATTAACGGCGAATGGGCCTTTGTTGGGGATTGTTATCTTTGGCGTGAGTGTACGGCGGCGACGCCAAACTTTTCTCTTTCCGGACCTTGTCATTTTTTATTTTTATTTTCTTTCCCTCGACTCTCTCCCTCTCTCCCTCTCTTTCTTTCTCTTCCTCTTTTTGAATGATGATGCGTCTGAATGATTGTCCCTCTCCTGAATGGGAATGAGTTTGCATCCTCTTTCTATGTGAAAGAACTTATTCCGGAACTCTTCCATTAGTTTCCTGGGTAGTCCTTCTACGCAAGGACCCTGTCTTTTTGTCTTGTGAACGGTGGATGCATGTGTACTGTGTGAGCAATCCATCTTTTTCCTGTGCATGGCTCATTTTTCGCACCTTCCACAGTGAATGAATGTATGGAAATGAGCGTCTCTTTTGTGTTGATTAAACGATTGTCGTCGGGATTTTGTCCGAGAATGCAAGAGTGTTTAGATCTGTAGTTTTGAGTGCACTGTGCATGCCATTTGCCTTATGCTCCGACATCAGCTAGCCAAATCACGAGGCGGCCTCGAGAAACAAGGTGCCTGGGATTAAAGTCGCTCACTAAACCTGAGCCGCGGATCGATCCCTTAGTTATATGCATGATCAAGGTGTTGAAGCGTCTCTCTCTCTCTCGTGTTGAAGGAAATTGTTTATGAGTAGCACCAGTGTTTTCTTTTTCTGGATGACGATGCAAGGTCTTTACAAATGATTGATATGTGGACTGACCAGTACCCTCCGATCGGGCACCAGCCCCCCGTACCTCCCGTCCCAACAAGGCCTTTTCCGTATAGAGGGAAGAACACGTGTATGTGAGTGGGACGTACGAGAAGTTGTCGCACAGATCGGCGGGCGATACTACTTCCCTCCGGCCAACCGCTGTTCATGGTTCGTAGAGGTTGGGTTTGTCATTATCGATACGCACTTCCCACCTTACTCGATATTGTTGCCATTCAACGAGTTGATCGTCGTCCCGTGGACGGCAGCAGAACCCCACTGGTCGTGCACTCTATGCACCGAATGCGAGCGTTTTGAGCGCTACGAATCCAGGGGTTTCCACTACCGTGTGCGGAGTGAAGACGAGCATAAGGAAAGAGCCACGCGATTGAGACCATCCACGTCAGACTCGGAACTAACCAGTGAACGACGACGAGATTTGATACGAAAACGAGACACGCGAAGCGTGCCAAACATACATAAACGAGATACGAAAAAGAGCCACACATACATGGGCATCCCGTAGGTGCACGACACTTACCTCAGTGGCTTGAGCTTCGAGATGAATAGAACTCACCCCCCCCTCATATGATCCTCCTGACCCCTGTAACGCTACCCCTACACTAGCGTCCTATCTCCTAGGAGGGTCTGACTCCAACACCCAAGTGCAACGCAAGGTCCCCCGCCGATGCTGAAGAACAAAGTAGCAACTTGCAGTCCGTAGATCTTCAATGGTTGCTGTCCCTCAAGTTCGCCTACTTGAGGGAAGCCCTAAAGTCGCCAAGTGTCTCCCTTGAATCAGATTCCAGGTGTGAGCGCCTCTCACTGGCGCCTCTCTCAAGTTGTTGCATGAAGTTTCCACAAAATGTTTCACCACCCCAATCTCACTCCCAAGCAACATGGTTAGGTGTAGTGTCGACCCCACACGACCTAACCAGGTGCAGGCAGCTTCCCTTAGCCACGCTGCCCCACTTCCCTTACAACCAACCCTAACCCTAAGTGTTGCCCTCAACCACTTAAGCCAGTTAAAAAAAAAAAAAAAACGCTAACTACAAAAAAGGCCGCCAAGACGGGTTTCCCACCGAAAAAAAAAAAAAAAGGTTAGGGTTAGGGCAGCAAGGTCAACTCTCACCAGCAAGTAGAATCCACTCTGATACCAATGTTATGATTCTGGCCAATTTCGAAGTACACATTCGTCAAAAAGTACAATGTCGTCCACTTGCAAAAAGAAATGAATGAACTTGAGAGGAGAGAGAGGGAAAGAAGAAGAAGAAGATAGAAAGAAACAAGATGATGTACACCAACGTAGACCAATGATAATGCTCTACTTCTTCGCCAACAACTCTCTCTTATTCAAACAAGAACAGTAATAACAATATTGAATGGTTGATCCGGAATCAATGTCTGAGTCCCTCTTCTACTGCAGGCATCACTTGAGTCCACCATAGCCATGGCCGCCCATCTCTTTTCTCTTCCTCATAGGCCGAGGCTATGGCGGACTACCAGAGCATCACCCTGCTGTCCAAAGGACAACACAAAGCAGCTATGGCTACTCTAGCTCAGGCCGTCATGCATGACTCTACCTAGAAGCTTCTTGGTGTAGCTCTGCCCCGACTAGGCCTTCTTGCTGCAGCGCCCACCAAGGTGATGAAGATGGCATCCACCATAGCCAGGTAAATACCTTTGGCGCTCCTCCTCCTAATCCTGGTCTTCTTCCTCCTCCATGCCCTTGCTCCTTCCCCAGCAGCGCAACTGAGTGCTAGCGCTGCTGCAGCCAGCACTCCAACCAGTGTGTCACCAAACTTGCACACTGACAATGAGGAGGAGCAATTGGCTCCTCCTAGAGATATAGCGGCCCCGCTTGCCTCTTGGCGGGTGACTTCCTGGGCCGCGCGGCCTCCAAGCAACCGGTACCTCCTCCCCTTTCGGGGGGAAACATCATTGGAGACTCTGATATTGCCCGTACAAGCCCTAGACTCAGACTGGTTGGACTGGTACCCGCCTAGACCTAGCTTACAACTATTGGGCCTCTAAAAATGCCAAATACCCGTGGAAGACAACACGCTGTCGTACCAAATACTCGTACAAGGGTATTTGGCGTGTTTTTTTTGTAAGTCACGCCGGTGCAGCCTCGTCCGAAGTTGACGGCGCACTTGCGGGTGAGAATTGAGTCCTTGCCTGGGTGAGGGGAGCACGCGGTGTGTTAACGAAGAGGTGCAACCACGCGGGGCCTGGGTGGCGTCGCAGGCCAGTAGGACGCACGACCCTTCGTCCCCTTACTCTTTTGAGTGTCCCTTGCGTTTTCTTTTTATTTTATTATTTTTATTACTATTATTCCTATTTTTATTTTTACTAAAGCCTTCGACTCAGTGACTAGTTTCGAGGCCGACATCGGGACTGACGGGCCTGACTCAAGTGCTATATGGCCAGACCCGGGTGGCCGTCACGGCAGTCGAGGACCTTGAGCACATACCCTGTCGGCGGGCCCGCTCAGGGTTCGGCGTGCCCTGGATGCTGATAAAATTTCTCTATCCGTCCGTCTTGAAACTTGGACCGGGGAGTTCAACGTGCATGCGAGCCGGTGGGTAATTAGCCCACGAGGCGGAAAGAAACTTGGGTGGCAGGGGTCGCTGCGGGCGCACCGTCCGCCAACCACAAATTGTTGAGAGAGGGTCGAGTGTGCGTATACCCGCCAGGGCCCGCAAGGTGGTGAACTATGCCTGGGAGGGGCCAAGGGGCCACGGAAAAAGGCTGCCGCAGTCCTGGCTCTGCGGCCCAAGCTGTCCCAGCAGCAGGCCACTTCGGCCTGCAAAGTTCCCATTTGAATATTTGCTACTATCGCCAATATCTGCATCGGGGCCACCGAGGTAGTGGAATAGGCCTGGGCAGCCATGGCCAGTGTTGCATATTGTAAAGGTGCAGACCAGAACAAGAACCGACCTCTCATACAAAGTACAAGATAGCGTAGAGGAAGACTTAGATACCAATGATCCGAACAATCAATATTGCAATGCAGCCCCAACATTCATCATCATCGTTCCATGGTGTGAAGGGGCCTGGCGCTCACACAGGAAGAATGCGCCAGTCCCCGCCATACACAGACGAAGAGGAGGGGGGTTGGACGAGGAAGACGGAGAGATGGGAATGTCGTCAACACCAAGTATGTGATACAGGTCCCAAATAATCCCCCTCCAATGTCTGAATCCCAACGTCGAGTCTGGATCCAATGTCGTCAAGTCTCAAGTCACAACTCTCTCTCTCTCTCTCGTAGTCCGCAGATACTGAGAAGTCAAATAGGGAGAGGGTGAAGAAGAGATGGTGGACTTAGAAGAGGAAGAAGAAGAACTCTCTCTCTCTCTCTCTGTCCGGTATTAACCTGTGAAGTTGGCGCCTTGATGCAGGTACCTCGAAGATGGAGCAAGAGCTATGGCGCCACAGGTAAGTCTCGCTGGCCTCCGCCAGCCATCTCCCTCCAACACTACTACCACTACCACTACTTAGCGCCCTGCGCTGAAGACTACTCCTGCAGCTACTAGCGCCCAGCGCTGAAGACTACTGCTAGCGCTAACTACTACTGCAGCGCTCCTCCTAAGTGTTGTGGCCGAATCCGGAAGACTGCCTCCTGCCTTTTGTCCAACTACCTCCCCGTGAAGTGCATGGGAACTCCCTATGTACTACTCGGCCTGCCTCCTGACTGTCTGCAGCTGCAGGGCGAGGCAGTCCAAGAGGCTGCTCTTGCCAATGCCAGGGCAAGCCAGGGGCTGGCGCTGCAGCTCCTGCTGAGGCTGGCGTGGGGAACAGGCCAAAAATAGCCTGTTCCCGAAACCCTGGTTTGTTGCCTGAGTTCTAGGGCAGGACGATCTTATGAGGGCCCGAAAGTGGCCCTCCGTTTCAGGCTGAAAAGACTCAGGGCCTGAACGGCCCTATTATAGGCTGAAAACGAAATAGGGCCTGCAGGCCCTCATTTTCAGTTTTCAGGCTGAAACGACACGGGGCCTGTAAGCCCTTATTTCTAGGCTTTTAGGCTGAGAATGCGGAATGGGCCCTGCAGGCCCATGTGGCTACACAGTATGCCACACCCCCCCTTCCTCGAAAGACCGAGCTTACCTGCGAGGGCGAAGCTGTCTGTCTGAGGGAGGGACCACAGTCTGGGCGGGAGGGGCAGGTCGTGAAGTTCCCTGAGTTAACCTTTGCTTCTCGTAACGAGTGTAGATCAGCGGTGCGGTTGCTTTCAAATCTGCTCCTGAAATCCACCTCGTGTCGTCGCGATCGCATGATTTGAATGTAACCTTATATTGTCGAGGCTTGCTGTCGTACTTGCGATCGGTGATGACGCGGTCAACTTCCTGATGACCATCCATAGAAGGAGGGTCATGCGATCGTCGGCATGGGAAGTCGTCGCTCTTAACTGGTGTGTATGTCGCCAGCTTCGAGGCGTGAAAGACTGGATGGACCGTCAGATGCGAGGGAATGTTGATCACAAATGAAGGGCCATCGGGCTCATCGCCTGCGGCTGATGTTACGGGCCATGGTCCAAACCACTTGGGAAACAGTTTGCGTGAGACATCCTGTTTCAGTGCAAACTCTTCCGCGGAGACACAAACCAGATCATCGGCGCGGATGGGACATGGCACGCGACGCCTGTTCGCTTACTGCTGCATGCAGACTTGAGCCTTTTGCATATTCGCGTGGGCTTGAGCCAGCAATTCCCTGTACTTCCGGACGGAAGCGGGAGAGCAAGCGGCGTCGATGTCGGCTGGTCGTGGGAGGAGCAGATCGGCGAAGATACGGCCTTTTCGTCCACCGTGGTGCAACTCGAATGGAGTCACGCTGATCGTCGGGTGCACCGAAGTGTTGTAGGCGAACTCGATGTCGGGGAGGTGGTCAACCCAATCTTTCTGATCCGGACGGATGAGCATACGAAGCATCATTTCAGTGGTTTGATGTGCCCGCTCCGTTTGCCCGTTCGTCTGTGGATGCCGAGCCGAACTTGGTTTCATCTTCGTGCCGGACTCCTGCATGAGAGCAGTCCAAAATGCCGACATGAAGCGAGTGTCGCGGTCGCTGACTATGTCTTCCGGTACACCGTGGCCGCAAATCCACCCGGTGTGCAAGAGGCGTGCCAGCTCGAGAGTCGTGGAGTAGTACTTGCAAGGGAGAAAGCGCGCGTACTTTCTCAAATGGTCCACGACCGTGAGGATGCCGTCGTGCCCGAGCCGGTCGCGGGGGATTAGACCGGTGACGTCCATGGCAATGGAGAGGCCGGGTTCCTGTGGGATAGGCATCGGGCGCAACTCGCCATAGGGATTGCGGTTGCGGAGCTTGCTTCGTCGGCAAACTTCGCAAGAGTCGCCATACCGAGTGACATCGGTGATGAGGTCTGGCCATCGGAATCGTTGCCGAAGTCCTGCAATAGTGCAATTGACTCCAAAATGGCCGGCAAGTCGCGAGTCATGGTACTCACTGATAAGGCGAGTCCGAAGACGACGGTCGCGTGGGACACACAATAAGTCCTTGCCTCTCGAGTGGAGGAGCAAGTACCCGTCGGCGATGCGATAGTGGCTGGCCGGAGGGTGATCCGAAGATAGTTGTGCATACAACGTGGCGAAATCCGGATCAGACTCATAGCCCCGGATGAAGTGTCGTTGGAGTACCTCGTCGAATGCGAAGGCAAGATGTGTCATAGCGCAAAGATCGGGTCTTCGCAAGAGTGCATCTGCTGCGGGATTGGAGAGGCCGGGGAGGTGTTTCGGTGTGAAGTCAAATTGGTCGATGAAGTACATCCATCGTCCAATCGTGCTACCGAATCCTGCGTCTTGTAATAGGTCAATGGGTTGTTGTCCGTGACCCATGTGAACCTACGACGCCCAAGGAGGAAGTGTCGCCATCGCTTGAGAGCCATCACGAACGTGAGCAGCTCCTTCTTCCTTGCATCATCAAGTAAATTGATGAGAGGCACTTTGTGGCTGAAATACTCCACGGGGTGTCAGTCGTCGCCGTCCTGTTGTTCCAAGACTGCCCCAATGCCATAACCGGAAGCGTCGGTTGTTACTCTCGTTGGCAGGGTGGGGTCGTAGATGCTAAGGACGGGTGCCATGAGCATGGCCGTCTTGAGTGCTTGGAATGATCGGCGTGCGTCATCATCGAAGACGAACGACACCTTTGGCGATTGTAATCTCGTCATAAGTGCGGCAATCCTTGAGTACCCGGTGATGAAGCGTTGATAGTAGCCTGCCAACCCCATGAATGAACGAACGTCCGTGGTGTTGGTGGGCTCGGGCCATACGCGGATGGCCTCGATCTGGTCCGCAAGTGGACGGATGCCTTGCGGCGTCACATAATGTCCCAAGTACTCCACAGCTCCTGCCGCGCGAATTCGCATTTGTCGCGGTTCGCTTTGTACTTGGCTTGTCGTAGCCGCTCCAAAACGGTGCGCAGGTGCTCCACATGCTCGCCCAAACTCCGACTGTACACCAAAATGTCGTCGAGGAAGATGAGTACGAATCTATCCAGCATGTGTCAGAACTCCGTTGTCATAGCCGCTTGGAATGTGGCCGGGACATTCGTAAGGCCAAAAGGCATAACCAGCCATTCGAAGTGCCCATATCGCATCTTAAACGCGGTCTTGTAGCGGATCTCAAGTTGGTGATATCCCGATTTAAGGTCTAGCTTGGAGAAGAACTTGGCGCCGCCCAGCCGTTCGAGGAGATCGTTGATGCACGGAAGAGGGCCGGCGTTCTTGACCGTTTGCGCATTGAGCTTGCGATAATCGATGCACAACCGCAAATCCTTGTTCTTCTTCCGGACGAAGAGAACGGGAGCACCGTATGGCGAGGAGCTAGGCCGAATCCAGCCTTCCTCAAGAAGGTCGTCGAGTTGTGCCCGTAGCACACTTAACTCTTCCTCGCTCATTCGGTAGATGCAACCACGCGGAGGTATAGACCCGTCCTCAAGGATGATCTCGTGGCGGATGGGCCGATTTGGTACTACTCCGTGCGGGCCTTCGAACACATCGTCGTAGGCGTCGAGAAGCTCGGTGATGTGTGGGTCCGAAGATGAGACCGTCGATGAAGCGTCATGGGGCGTGAGGGCATGGAGAAAACATACCCCCATCTCCTCGATGTCGTCTCTGATGATGGAAGCTCGCATGCTTGCGGCGGACACCACGTGGCAGCTGATCGAAGGGTGAGGAGGAGGCACCGTGCATGGGACTAGTACTCCGTTCCGATCACGAACGTGAACGGTGCGGCGATAGAATTTCACCAGGTGATCCTCGCTTCGCAGCCATGATATGCCCAAGATCATGTCGAATTTGGTGTCAAAAATATCGAAGGACACCGCCTCGCTTGCATGTGGGGCAAAGTACACGGGGACGTCATCAATGCACCGGTCGATTGACTTGTGTGTGTGGTCGTCTGCCAACGTGACTTGCGTAGTCTGGGACTTCCTCCGGACGCGTGGGCCAAGGTCGGCGCGTACCATAAAGTTCTGGCCCATGTAGTTGCAAGCGCTCCGCAATCGATCAAAGCGCTGCAGGTCGCCTCTCCGATCTGAATGCGTACATATAACAATGGTGCGTCGATGTCGTCGTACCGTTGTGTCTTGAACTCGCGATAGATCTTCGCAATGTAGGCATGAAGGTCGACAACCTCTACTTCGACGTCCATCAACGGAGCTGGTACTGCAGTGTGCAAGTAATCCCGCAATTGTGCCATGAGCACGTTGCAATGCGGTTTCGGCAATCGACCGGATCGGGAAAGGGGCATCCATTGGAAGTCCGCAAACGTCAACAGGTCGAGCTCTTCAAGTCTTGACCATGTCGTCGAATCCCTGCCTATAGATGGCGGCGAAGCTGCCGACTCGGTTGCCGATGGTAGTGAAACCGTGCATGCGGTGGATTGTTGCACGTGGAGTGGTTGGTCCAACGGTGGGACCAAGTGGACAGCATAATCCTCGTAAGTGAACCGAGGACTTGCGACATTCGCATCCTCCCCAGATGTGTAGCAAGGCGGCCGAATCTGGCGAAGTGAGAGGTGGAGTCGCCTCACCTCCCGCGCAACTCAGTTTCCCGAGTTCCGAACATCCTCCTTGCCTTGTTCCGGGCATTGGGAGGTCTTGGGCTTGGTGATGTTGCACCAATAGCAGCAGCCGTAGCGGCCGCACCACTTGTATTCCGCCTCGGTCAAGTGAAACTTGACCCATGGTGCTGGCTGTCTGTTTCCGACCGGCGATGCGGTTTTTGCCTTCCCGTTTCCTCGGGACTTGTTGTTGCTTCACGGCTGGACAGCAGCCACCTGATCTCCCTCACGTGATGCTTGGGTGGCTGCCGGGTCTTCCACAATGTTGTCCGTGTGGACTGCGGCGACATGCTGCGGACGCGGACCAAATTTTCCTTTCTCCACATAGGTTGGCTGCCATGCCGACTTCTCGTGTGCAGCCGCCCTATTGGTCTTGATGATCTCCCTTGCCTTGTCGATGATTTCGGCGAAGGTCGCGTATTGCTCGCGATCACCAAGTGCAAGGCTCAAGGCGGCACATGACCGGTTGTAGAACTCCCGACGCAGGTGCAAAAATGGCAATTCGAGATCCGGCGTCGCCGCGATCTTTTGCCATTCCGTGAGCCAGTCACATGTCGATGTGTTGCCTTGCGACATAGCGAAGAGGCGGTTGATGGCGAGCGTCGGGGCGTCGTCCACGATGAACCGCTTCTTCCATAGTCGTGTTAACTCTTCCCAAGAGATCTTATCTTTCAGATCTGCGACATCAAAGCAGTGGACGGTTGTCAGGTGGCTCAGCCAGATCTAACATCCGCCCTTTGAGTTGAGGAACAGCGCACCGATGTACGAGTGTTTGGGGACGAACAGAATCCGAAGTTGCATCGTAAAGCCCTCCCACCAGATGACCGGATCTTGATGCGTGTAATCATCGAACTTCTCGATTTGGAATGTCGGCATCTTGTAATGTTGCGCGGTGTTGCCATCCTTGTTAGGCAGCTGGTGCAGTTGCTGAACCTCGGTCTTCAAGGTGTCCAGTTGCTTGCTGATGGTGGCTGGTGCCGCGAAGGTACTGATGTCGCCGAGCATTGCGACTACGTGGTCAACTCGTTCCCCCAATTGGCGCGTAGAGGGTGCGCTGCTGGACTCGCCAGCATCTAGTCTTGGTGCAGATTGCTCCAAGTCCTGTACACGGGAATCAAGTGCCCATGTAGCATCCTCGTGCAGACCCTTGTGGTTTTGCACCGCCCATCGGAGATTCGCCAGCTCGGACTGCAGGTGGTTACAGGTGTAAACCAACCGGGTCAAGAGCTTGGCCAAAAATTCCTTATGCTGCTCCTCCGGTGTCGCGTCGTCGTGCTCCTCGGATGGTTCAAAGTGCCAAGACTTGAGCTTTTCTATGCTGGTGGCTTCATGCCGCTGTAGCAGATCCCGGGTCGCCTTGCGGCGTGCCTGGGTATCTGCTTCGACTTCGGCTTGAAGCCGCTGCTTTTCAACTGCCGCCGCTTCAACTTGTAGGCGGGCAGCCTCGGCTGCCGCCTAACGCTGTTCCTCAGCCTCAATCAGTGCGAGCTGAGCTTCGAAACGCTCTCGGTACTCGGCAATGGACTCATTGGCCAGTTGGCCTGGCATGCCCAGAGCTGAGCCCGTCATGGTGGCGGGGCACTGCTAACGTGGCACTGTGGCACTGTTGACATGGCACTGTTGCTGACGAGGCACTGCTGACGTGGCACTGTTGCTGACGTGGCACTGCTGACGTGGCATTGTTGCTGACGTGGCACTGCTGACGTGGCACTGCTGACGTGGCACTGCTGATGTGGCACNGTGGCATTGTTGCTGACGTGGCACTGCTGACGTGGCACTGCTGACGTGGCACTGCTGATGTGGCACTGCTGACGTGGCACTGCTGACGTGGCACTGTTGCTGACGTGGCACTGTACCAATCCGGGAATGCATGCAAAGGGGTGGGTGGGAGGGAAAACGCAGGTAGGTGACCAACCCAGCTATACTTTCCTCCCGGTCCTAATCAACATACTAAAATAAATAAAAAATAAAAGAAGAAGATTACCCCCCCCCCTTTTTTTTTTTTGTATGTTTGTCGATCTGCTATGAGTGAGGCATGTCAGAAGAGTACTATGAGCGAGATCTAGGCCAGGTTCCGCAAAGTTTCGGCTTTCACAAAATGCGATCTTGAAAAAAAAAATTGCGGAACAGAGTAGAGATGCGATTTTCAGAAATGAACTAAATCTAATTTCTGAGAATATGACAACCTCTTAATATGCCTAAACGAAATGTTGGTAGGCTTCGCAAGATTTCGGTTTTCAAAAAAAATTTGCGAGATAGAATGGAGATTCGATTTTCATAAAAGAATAAATCCGGTTTCCGAGAATATGACCACCTCTATCGTTATCCTAATATGCCTACAAAACGAAATGTTAACATCAAAAATCTTCGGCTATGTATGCGAATATCAGAGAAACGAGATGCTACTATCAGGAATTTCCAGATAAAACGAAATGCGATTATCAAATATTTTTAGATATTTGTTGCGTGAAAACGAAATACTAATATCAGAAATTTTCAAGTAAAACGAAATGCGATTATCAGAAATTTTCAGATATTTGTTGCGAGAAAAAAAAAATTAGAGATTTGACGAAGTCCTACTTGATTTACTAACGAGTAATCAATAGATCAAGCAAGCTGGCTACTTGATTGAGCGGTCCTCTGAATGAGAGGTCCGCTCCGATACCAAATTGTTGCATGCAGACTAGAACAAGAACCGACCTCTCATACAAAGTACAAGATAGCGTAGCGGAAGACTCAGATACCAATGATCCGAACAATCGATATTGCAATGCAGCCCCAACATTCACCACCATCGTTCCATGGTGTGAAGGGGCCTGGCGCTCACACAGGAAGAATGCGCCAGTCCCCGCCATACACAGACGAAGAGGAGGGGGGTTAGACGAGGAAGAGGGAAAGATGGGAATGTCGTCAACACCAAGTCTGTGATATAGGTCCCAAATAATCCCCGTCCAATTTCTGAATCCCAACGTCGAGTCTGGATCCAATGTCGTCAAGTCTCAAGTCACAACTCTCTCTCTCTCTCTCTCTCTCTCTCTCTCTCTCTCTCTCTCTCTCTCTCTCTC